AGAGCATTGGACCATCGAGTTTTCTGACTAGTCTACCTTTTTTATTTTTTTAAAAAATTATATTTATTTGCTACATCACTCATTTAAATCTTGGTTATAATAAACGATTATGTACTGTATCAATTTTTAAGTATATGCATCTACGCTTATAGACTAATGTGAACCCTTAAAGTTTGGTTGCCAAGCTTATCATTAACAGATTTTATTTATGTGATCATTCCGCAGTATAAGGTGGATTTATAAATTTCGTGATGATTGTTCAGTCAGATTATCGCAGCATTTAGTAAAACTGCTTGTTTGTAAAAGAAAAAAAAAAAAAAAATAGTGCACTAAAAATTATTAAATTTGAATCTGGAAATGATAAATTCAACATATAGGCGCTCTCGGGAGATGTGAACTGCTTATTGCATGGGTCTTAAGTGACAACTCGTGCTTTTTTCATTTACTTATTGGCATGGGATGTTACGTTAGACACCGTGCAATAAGATAGTTATTGTATGGGTATATTGAATACCCAGTTACACACACGAGTTCATATTTAAATCCCGTGCCTTCAGCACGGAATATGAACTCGTATGTAACTGGGTTATTCACTACAACCCATACAATAACTATAAAAAATGGTCTTCCATATTTGAATGTCATGTGAAAATTTGTTGCGTAAATTGCACGTAAAATGTCAATTGTAATGGAAGGAAATTCAAGGTATTTTCTTGATATTTATTGTATACTAAATTAAAAATATTTTGCATAAGTTTATGTTATTTTTAATTGTGTAAATTATGTTATGGTAATTTTGGTAAATCACAAAAAACCCTACTATAATAGATTCAACACAAATTAGACTATAAATGGGTGATGAAATAATTTTTGAAATAACAAAATTAACCAAACTATCATAACGTATTGTTATTATATTGCTTAATATTAGAATCTAGTATAAAAACCTAATTTCCACACAACGTACCGGTATACAGTCTTTTATAGTATAATTCCTTGTTAAACCGAGTTTTTTTAAATTCAAATAAGAATGCTTTTTAAACGTTGCATAATATTGGTTTGTTAAACATTCTAAACTTTATCGAAATGTTCTGACCAAAATGTGAATAAACTAATACGTTCACTTGATAATTTGTAGATTCTTCTTTCTTATTTAAGTTCTATTCTTTACTAAATTTTACATTGTAGAAAATTATTATGTCAATATATTGACGATTTATGAATTACATCATGTAATTGCAAATTCAATTTCCCGATCGGAAGAAAATGTAATTTATTGTAAATAAAACATGTTAAAGTATAAGAATTTCAATAGAGACCTAAAATTTTAACATGCTTGAAACGAAAAAATTTTTGACTAAATTTTAGTTGTTATAATATTCTTCCAAATTTTTAGTTCCTTTTATATGATATACACACATTCCCCACTTTTGCATAAAAATTACATGAAGGATATAACCATAATTAAAATAATAAGTATCAATATTGTAGAATACCAATTTCCATTTTTCGAAATTGGTGCTGAAGATATTGTGGAATTATCTAAATCATAATACTGACGTTTACTGTAGATTATGGGTTGGCGATGTTTGTACATTGTATAATGCTGTTTAGAATTATGACGTTTGTTGTATGGAGCAGGAAGATGACCAATGACAATAAGAGTGTTTATATGATAAGTATAAATTTCAATCTCTTCATCTTGACCCATAAGAATTTTGCTCATATTCAGATTATCGACTAATTTAATATTATTATCGGCATTTGAGGAGATTATTAAAATTAATATTAAGTAAATTATGACAAAATTAAGGAAAATGCGCATTTTCTAATCAAATTAGAATTATTATTTGTTGAATTCAAAATTATATCTTAAAAAATAGTCATAGTGAAAAATATTGGAATGATGGCGAGAAAAATCAATAGATTGCAGTGTGAAATTTAGTTTGATTACATAACTTATCTGTATTACTATTTAAGTTAAGATAACCATTTATATTTACATTTTTACTTTATATTTGTCACCTAAATTTATATTGTAAAACAATGCCAACAGGCTGAGCGCACAAGTGACACGTTTACTGTTACACGGTTAATATCTTCAGGATTGTAACCTGATGCTTTATGAACGTATGTACTGTACATATGTATATCTACATTGACACTATTGGTTCTTAGCATGAGTGTTATTGCAGGTTACGTACGTACGTATAAAGAATGACGGAACTCTAGCGGTCACAAATATGTGTTGAGCCAATGGCTGTTCATTTCTGTTATGATCATTTGTTATATGTACATTTTTTTTCTACTCAGATTTAGGCCGAATACATAGAACTCACTTATCATTATTTATTTCATTTTGTATAATAAAACTATTAGATTTACTTAATTTCTAACAAATGTTTAACAAACTAGAATATATACGCAAACAAACTAACAGTAAATATATACGTATCAATCGAATACTAGAGAATTTTATGATAGTGACTAGATGGACTATCTCTAACCAAAAATAGAGATATTACTCGTTGCTTCAACTAAAAAATTTGAGATTCTAGTTAGTTCATTCATTTTGGTTCAGATGGAGGGAGAGAAAATTTAAACATGTTCAGGAATATTTGATTAAATTTCATTGGAAACTATAATCACATGATTATTTCGGGAGGGACAATTAACCAAGAGGGGTTGATATTAACTAACTATTCAATTTTGAACGGGCCTTAATAATCTAATTCTAGCAATATTTTATAAATTTATTAAACAACTAATGCTAGAGATATTCCCAAGTCAAAAAATGGCTTAGATTAATAAAGTTCGGGTCAGGTGCCATAGCCCGGGTCATACGATCAGAGTTACTATTAATAGAAGATTTATTATGAATAATCATAAATGTTAATTTAATAATAACTATCATTTATAATCAATATTCAACAATTACAATCAGACCTCTCTAAGTGCACACTCTATAAGTTCACACCCTCTCTAAAAGCATAGCGGGCTTTAAATCTGATTGGATAATCAACCGAAATGTTACACAATATGAAAGACATATTAGTGTAACGTTTCGCAGCAACATAAATGGATTGGCAGCCACGGGTACGAATTGGCAAAGCTTGACACCAAAAAAATTCAATAGAATACCTTCCATTCTATCAACTATCAAAGTAATTCGGTAATCCGTGAAGTAATTCGGAAATTAGATGAGAGGTATGTTTAAACGTTTAAGCTTAGCCTATAAGTACATAAATCAGCAATTTGGTTGCCTTTTTACTTGTGAAAACTTATTCTTCATAATCTCAACTAATAAAAAACCTGATTATAATATAGGTAATAACGCGAAGCTGTGAGTTATAAGGCTTATATATTTCATGGAAAGAGTTAAAATGAAATACAATAGTGATACTGTAACTGTATAATGAACGATTATTAGATAAATTAAAGATTAGTTTGACGTCAGAGCAAGCATTAAAAATTGGTTTAATTATTTTCTATTTGTTCTAGAATAATTTTAAATATTAATTCTTGTATTTATTATTATTATTATTATTATTATTTTATTTAAATTTTTTATTTATTTTATTATTATTTATTATTTTTTTTATTATTTTTTTTTGATTCGTAATACAGTAATATGTTGAGATTCTTAATAAAAATTTTGGATTGTCGGAATTTTGTTTGTGACAAGATTATAGATTTAGGCTTAAAGTTATTGAGATTTTATAGTAAAGACTTCTGTCAGTATTAATTTAGTTACAAACATAATTATTTCATGTGTATTAGTTTTCTTGCAACGATTCGATTTAAATCTTGGATTAACCAATCAAATTTTTACAACATCACGGGATGATCTACAAAAATTGGCCAATTACGATGAAAGCCCGCTATGCTCTCTCTAAATGCACACTTAAGTGTAAGCCCAAATATATACTTGACCTCTATAAATGCACTTTTCTTATTATTCTCTATATGCACATTATTGAAGTGTGGTCCCAAGAGCATGCACTTAGAGAGGTTTGACTGTAATGATTTAAATTGATAATGATAATTATTGTTTTTAATTACCCATACCAGTAATTATCGATAAGAATTATTGATAGTTATCAAATATTTGATAGTAATCATTACTTATCTACAATGATGGTCTCTGGAATGTTCTAGTGAAAATTACTGGAACTGGAAGATCACTGGAATTAACTGGAAGGAATTAGTAAAATATGTCTTCCAGTGGTAAGTTGTCACTGGACTCTTTCAGTGAGAAATTTTAGTCCACTGGAAGGAAGTTCTAGTAACTTCCAGTCGCTTCCAGTGATTCCAGTGACTTTTATCTAGCAGAATTACTATATCAGGTTTGTATCTGTATATTAATTACTTGTATGTACATATGTATGTACGTATGTTCATATGTATTACAGCCCTTTGTTTTGCAATGTTAAACTTTTTTTTATCACGTCGACCAGAATAAGTCCAATTTCGGATTTGAATGGCTAACTTAATAAAAGCAACAATAAGAAGAAAAATAAACCATTATAACTGGTTAACTTCCCAAAATCAATTTTACTGAAATACAATAACTTTTTGAACTTGGAGTTCTATATTCAAAGCTTTCACTTTTATATATTTACAGCAGTAAAAAGAACGATCAAGGTGTTTAAGGCAAAGTTATATTTTGAAAATAGACTTCTCACAAGCTATTAGTTTACCATGTTTAGGGTTAAAATACTTATTTTACTTTATTCTTGTGTAGAACTTGTTAAATAGATAGATATAATATTGATATGGTTTTAGATATCAAATATTCTATAATAATTGTAATAAAATATGCTAAAGGTGATACTTGAAAATAAGAGAAAGAATATAAACCATTATTTTTATATTTGAGTATAACTTAAAAATCATATAATTCAAAACTTGAAGACAGCTTTTTTATATAACAAATATATATATAATCACTGCGAATGGCTAGCATTTGCCTCAGGTTTAAATTGTTTGAGATAATAAGTTTAGAGGATAGCTATAAGAAATATATAATTTCAACTTGTAATTTTACTTTTGCAAGTTTAATCATTATAATACAATTTGCTTTGATTATGACAATTACAGTAAATATGATTATTCAATTAGAAAAAATTGTGAATTCTTTCTATTTTTCAAGCCTAAAAATACTAATAATCAATACCATAATGCTATGAAATATGAAATACTTATATTCAAATTAGATTTTGACAATACAATTTTCACAATACTAATTTTTATTTGTCACATAAACCACCTAAGTCTGTTACATTCATCCAAAAAATTTTTTTAAAACCAAGGTAAAACCCAAATAGTGTATATGCAAATTAAACTAAAAGTAGATGCTTGTTTCAAGGGACTGGGTCTAAGTATAATTATTTAATACTTGGCATCCCTTTTTAGAGAACAGGTCCACAGAAAGGCACTATTAAAACAATACTTATGCAATTACTAAACTTAATTTTTTTTTAAAAAAATTCATATTAACCCAAATTATTTTAAATTCTGCATAGTAATATTGTATAATTTCAAATTCTTTCAATTTTATTTTTGCAAGTTTAATTATTTTAATGTGATTTTCTTTGATCATGCAATCTCTGTAAATATGATTATTCAATTGTAATAAATTCTTCCTATTATTGAGCCCAAATATACTAATAATTGTGACAGATTAAAATGAAATCAGATTAAAATGAAATTTTAATATTTTTTAGAAACAATTTAAAAAATTTTGGAAGACATTTTTTAGGGTTAGAGTTAGGGTTAGGGTTTAGTGTTAGGTTTATTAAAAAAAGAGTATAAGTAGGTTTTATACGCTTTAAAGGAGAGCAAAAGAGGTCTCCCATTTCATTTTATTTTAATCTGCAACAATAATTGATACTATAATACTATAAAATATGAAATACTTACCTTCAAATTGGAATTTGATAATATAACAGTATAATATTCAAGATACTAATTCTTATTTTCTGCATAAATCATATAAATCCATTATATTCACCCCAAAATTTTTTTTAAAAAAATATTAGGATAGAACCTGAATAGTTATATACAAAAGCAGATACTTGTTTTATGGGACTGAATCTGAATCTAATTATTTAATGCTTGGCATCCACTTTTAGTAAACAGGTCCACAGAAAGGCACTATTAAAACATAATACTCATATACTTACCAAACCTTAATTTTGAAATTAGTATATAAAGTGGCATATTGACACATAATATTTCTAATTTAAATAGTAAATAGATTTCAAAAATGTATTAAAAAAAAAGTATGCATATAAAGTATTGCTAAAGTTATACTTATAGCTGGGCTAAACTGCATATATAATGCACTTTCAATTAATTACTATATCATGTTCAGTAATATGATTTTCAGTAAAGTGTTATTAGTAGAGGTGTTAATTGGCTTATTTAACTTGATTAAATAATCAGTGTTATAAAAAAAATATACAAGCAGTCGAGTCGATTAACACCTCTAGTTATTATAAATAAGTACCAAATTATAACTATAGAAAGTTTCTTTCTTCACCTTCAATGCAGGTAATTCATTTAGAGAATATAATCACATGTGAAAATCTACAGGGAAAAGAAGAGTTTTGGAGGCGTTATTGAGCAATTAAAATATATATATTTATAGAAAAATATTAAAATTTACTCTAATAAAACATAAAATTTATAAAACATAAGCATCTTTAACTGAAAAACTATATTCTCTATAGTTTTAAAACTATTAACAACTTGCAATCCATATTAACTTTGATGTATTCTAATTAAAATAGCTCAAAGGCATATGAGTGGTTCTGAAAAACATAGATTTACCAAAGATATTATTGTGCTTGGTGTAAAAACTACAAATAAATATAATACTAGTTGTATATGTAAAGCTTGTGATGATGCTCTTGGTTGTGATGAAGCTCTAAATGAAACATTCACCAATGAAAAAAATGTTGTAAGAAATTACTTAAAAAAATGCAAGTATTTTCGTACCAAACTCAGTTCTCAAGAAGTGATAGACAGCTATTGTAATAAGACGGATAACAAAGCAGAGAAGAATCTACAAGCTTTGAAAAAACATCCAAATGCTGATAATACATCAGATAATTTAAAATATTTGAAATTTGCATTGGCTATTCCAATAAATAAATTTTTTTTTCAAAAAACAAAAAAAAAAAAGATAATGATTGTACAAGTGATATAACCTCCGGTGTTTCCTCAACAATGTCTAAATCAACTAAAAAGTCAAGAAAAAGAATATCAAATTCTAGCTTAATGTCTAAATTTATTGTTAAAAATATTGCTACAAAAGATAAATTAATATTTGAATAGTTATTGCTTCGAATAACAATATTAAATGGATGGGCATTTCAATAGACAACAAATCTAGAAACTAAAAAATTTTTTAAATTCTTAAATCCAGCACTTACTCTTCCTAGTCAACATGTATTAGCCAATCATATTCTTGATACTGAGAGAATAAATTATGTTAAATTATGAGAGCAAAAATTAAAAAAGGATGGTGTTGGGGTTACCTTGGCATTTAACAGTTGAAAAAATATTTTAAATCAACATATTTTTGGTTCATTGTTTATTTTGTCAACTGGAGAAGTTCAGATTTGGGAAGCAACTAATACTAGTTCAGAAAAAGAAAGAAAGTTTGAAATTATTTCTAAAATTGAAAATATGATTAAAGATGCATTGAATATGGGAGCAAAACTATTAGCAATTGTTTCTGATAGTGTGCCTACATATTCTGCTGCTAGATAATTAAAAAAAATAAAATATAAAATATATCAAAAAATTATACAGTCAGATCTTTCTAAATGCACGCTCTATTGGTGTATACTCTTTCTAAATATATGTTCAAATGCTGACCCAAATATTTGCTTAATATTCATAAATACATTTTTTTTTATTCTCTAAATGCCAACTAAAAAGGACTAAGAAAACTCTACATATTATAGATTTCTACAACAAAAATATCTGAATACTATTAAAAATTCAGAAAATGTGGCATATTATTAAAGTATAGTACCAAGGCATGCACTTAGAGAGGTCTGACTGTATTTACTACTTACTTTGTTTTTCAAATGTTAACCTTAATTATTTTAATAGATGTTGATTACAATTACAATATTCAGGAATTGCATTCCTTCCTTGTTTTGCTCATCAATGCAATTTAGCCATAGGAGAAATATTCAAAGAATCTGCAGAGTTTAAACTTGTGATGAAACAATCAATAAAAATAGTCAGATATTTTAATAATACACTTCATTCATATTTTATTAGAAAGCTTTGTGATATACAAAAACAAATATATTCTAAATATATTACTTTAATTTGTCCAGGTGACACTTGTTGGAATTCATATTGCTATTGTTTCAAAAGTCTATTAAAATCTCATCAGGCTTTAAGGGTTAGTGTTAAGGTTCTGTGAGTGCTGAGCATAGCACCAATAAATTATAGTGCTTGATATACAGACACTATGTTTTATTAGTACCATGCCCAGCACTTGCGAATCTCTAATTAATATCTATAAAACATTAATTAAAACAAGTATTTGACCAAATATTAAAACCTTTCAAGAACTTAGCTACTATATTCTAATTGCTTTTAGAAAGTTCAGCTTATGAATCTGACAATAAAGAATTGAATTGGCATTCTAATAGCTTAGATGAACTTTGTATTCTACAAAATATAACAGCAATTCTACTTAGCAACAATTTTTGGCAATTAATAATACAGTTACATACTTTGTTTTTTTCTTATTGCAGAGCTCTTAACAAACTACAATCAGATACTGCACTTCTTTATAATGTGTTACAAGCTTTCAGTGGAGTTTTGAGAATATGGGAGAAATATCCATATCAAAATTTGGCTCAGTATATGATTCTGTGATTAGAACAAAGATGGAGGCAATAGGAACAACCATTACTACTATTAGCTTTCTTTTAAACCCATTTATTCATATTACATAGTTTAATCATAATAATGAAAATTTAAACTTTACATATTTAGCTCAATTTGTTACTTATATTACAAAGCGTGGTTTGAACACCGGCCAACCTGTATTTTGCTCGAATTAGAAGAATATAGAAAACATAAATATCCTTTCGACTTTGCAACATATGAACAATTTGAAAAAGATATACTACGATTTTTGGAATTCACCTTTTTTCATCTAAAGAATTAAGTCCATTGGCTATATATTTATTTGGAATATGCATTAATATAGCATCTGTAGAGTGACTGTGGAGTTCAATAGAATCTCTTCATACTAATTATCACAACTGTCTCCAAGTAAGGTTTTTTTTGGTTTATAATTTTAAAATTAACTTACTATTATTCTTATTTTTTTTTAATGTAGAATGAAAAAGTATTAACTATGAGTCAAATTCGTGCTTCAATTAAATTCTCCCAATTAAAGAAACAAATCCATACCTGTGATACTATGTTTAGCCAAACCAGTACACCTCCTATTGGTTAAACATCAGACATACCAAATAAATTAGATACAGATATGGATGAAGAATATGATAAATTGCATAATAATGAATCACCAAACATAAAAAATGTTGATAATTGGAAAAACCAATTATATGACTGGGAATAAATGCTAATAGATGAAGAAATTGCTAGATTTGAGAATGAAGAGAAAGAATGAGATAATCATAATGATTATATGGAAGATAACTTATTAAGTAATTACAAACACCCAGCGGTATTTAATAGAGCAAAATAGAAAATAAGTAGTATCTTTAGTATACAATTTCAAAAACTGAGTTATATAGAAACTGATAGGTAGGTTTTATTTCTAATTATCTCTTTCTTTTATTAATAACAATTATTACCACATCATACATAATTTCTGTCAATTAAAATTAATTATAATATATTAGTCTTATAGCAACACTTAAAGCCCTTCCTTATTGGCAGCCAGTTGATAGTGAGAAAGACTTCAATATAATATTGGAGGTAGGGTTCCTCAAAGTTGAATCAAATCGAATATTTACATATTTGAATTTGATCGAATTGAATAAGCTCTTGATTTGAATTTGATTTGATCAAATCAAATTCAAATCAAATCAAATTTATTTGTAATTTTTATTAAGTATTTTCAAATCAAATCGAATATTTTGTCAATTTGAATTTGATTTGATTTGAAATTTCTGTATTTGAATTTGATTTGAGATCAAATATTTGATCAAATCAAATCAAATCAAATCAAATTGCGGAACCCTAATTGGAGGATTCTGAATACTAAAACATTTCAAGTATATTTGGTAGTTTTAAAATATAGGCCATGCAATGTTGAATGATTGGATTTCAAATTTTTAATCTATATTCTGCGTTGAAATAGAATCTTATATTTTAAAACTTTATCTATAAACATAAATTATATACAGCATAGTTATTAGTTATTTTAAAATCGAACATTAAACAAGCATAAGTATAATTAGAAAAAAAAAAAAACCCCCCGTTCATGTTCCCAATTATAAATAGAAATTAAGATTTACTAAATCGTTGAAGGGTCTTTAGATCTTGAATAACAATACATATGTTGTAACAGATCGACAGTATTAGAAGAAAATAGTAAGCATTTAAATAAAAGAATATTATAAATATGACAGATCTTATATGTATCTGTATAATGAAAGTTATTCTTATTAAAGTCATATGCAATATGTATATTTTTATTGGTTAATGCGGCTTGCATTTTTATTGGGTAATATTATATATGTTCTAGTCCAGTGAGAATTTTCACTGGAACTACTGAAAGGCTAGAAGATCTGAAATTCCAGTAGCATTCCAGTATTCCAGTGCCAACACTGCTTATCTATATATAAAATTTTCTGATATATGATATTTCAAACCAAATATCTTAAATTTATACTAATACTGCAACTCTGTTGGATTTTTATATAAATGTTACAGAAAAATTACTATCTAATTTCCAACAAACAGGAATTAGTTTATTTCTACCAAAATTCATCTCAATAAAATTCAATACAGCACTATTAAAAAAGACAAAACATACTTTATGCTAAACTAAAAACAATTATAATAGTACTACTCTTAATATCATTCAATAGACATATTAGTATCTTTACAACAAATACTTCTACTATTCAGGCTATCAATCAGACCCTTAATATCTTAAATCTTAAAATTGATCAAAATAATTGGCATACTATTTTATTCTAAACTTTTTTATATATTAAAAAATATAAATTTTAAAATATCCCAAACCAAAGCGAACAACAAAAATATCTACTCTACTAGCAAAAAACTAGCACTTCAAAATATTCACAAAGAAAAGTTACTTATTAAATATAACAAAACAAGTCTTCTTTTCTACTTTCTATAGCAAGATTATATTATACTATTCAAAATTCAAATCTTCATCAAAAATATATCTAAAATTAAACTACTGGCAGATTGGTCTAACAAATTTCATAGTATTTCATCAAACCTATTACAAGCTTCTTGGAAACTTCACACTAAAATTTTCAAATCACTCTTGTTCCATACTAACTTCTTTTTTTTCTTCTCTAAATTTATAACTAATAATCTTCCAACAATAAACAATTTATCTAAACAGCAACCAGACTTATATATTCAACCAAATTGTGTTCTTTGTAACCAATTTGAATATACACTATACCTACCACAATGCCTAAAATTACATTTAACTTACCCTAAATATTAATACAACAATTCAAAACTACATTTCACCAAACTACAATACTAAACTTCAAATTCAAATCTTACAAAAACTTACTCTTTAATTAATACCTTTTAACAACCCAAATTATACCTTACTATATTATATTATTCAAGATCTCTTTACTAGAAGATTTACAAACAACTCTTAATACTGACACACAAAACTTTGTATCTATATTTTTCAACTCTTTATTTAATTGGCTCAAAAATTCTATATGGAAATCAAGGAACCAGAATTAGCACACATGAGAACAACTTTGTAATATTACAGCCAAAACAAAAGATCTAAACCTACTTCTTTTTCCTCAATAAATATTGCTACTACTGTTTTAACACAAATAAATACACTTATTAATTACAACCAATGTGTTAATACTTGGTTTCTTTACAATACATTGCCTCTTATAGCTTTTATTTTAACTTCAACCTCATAAAAAGTTTTCTCTAACTTATCCATTTCTAGAACTTTATTAATTTTGTCATTATTTTTGGCTATAGGGACCAAAAATAAAGATTAAATGTCATGCTGGGTGTCTAAAATTTATTTTAGTATAGCACAAATAGTTTATATTCTTTAATAAATAATAACATATATTACAATACTTCTAAGTACTGCAGCTAATAGTGCCATCATAAATATACCTAAATAGAAAAAATATTTTTTAACAAACTTTAAAAATCATCAGTTTATATTTTTAAAAAATTGATATTTCCACATCCTATTATAAAATTTTAAACAGTTTAAAATTAATCAAAGATATCTTAGCACTTACTTTATAGGTCTTACAAAATTTTAAACATCTATCAAGTAGAGAAATTGGTTTTAAACTTTTGATTGAAGCTATCTCAGCACTCACACAATCAAATTTGATGAACTTTTTTATTTAAATCCTGCTATATTATCTTCAATCAAATAATAATAATAATAAATTTAGTTAAGTGAGTGCTAAGAAAAATAGAAGCTGTATCTCAAAGATATCTCAGCACTCATCCAACCAAATTCGATGAACTTGTTTTTTTTTTTGAATTCTGTAACTACTACAACTAAATAAAAAAAGGGTTTATCTAATTTGGTTAGATGATTCTGAGATATCTTCGATCAAATTGCAAAATTTAAAAATAATCTACTCTAACGGATAGTGCTCCTAGGTCCGGTCCGGGATCGAACCGGACTCGGACTCTAAATTTTACTAGTTTCGAACTTCAGACCAGACTCAAACTTAATTATGAGTCTGGTCCGTGTCTGGTCCGAAGTTTGCAAACTAGTTCGAGTCCGAATATATATAAAACTAGAACATTCAGCTTGTATAGAAAATTTCATAGTAAAATAGCCTTTCGACTACGTATTTATCAGTTATTATCAAATCTCATCAATTTGCTAAATTTGCATGTTACATAAACACATATTTTATGCTAATTTAATTTAAATAAATTTCGATTGTACTTATCGGTTTACTAACATATTCGGAAAATGGTTGTGTATTATATAGCTTGCTAGTATAGACTTCTTGAGAATGTATTTGGTTGACTGACTCTGGTTTAGTCTTATTGGCTTCCGAAATTTGTTTTTTGATTTCATTATCATAGTCCTGATCCATTTCATTTAACCAACTTGTGATTATTTCAATAATTTTTACCGCAGTAAGTCGGCTATCGAAATCTTTATTCAGACATCTCATAGCTAGTTTAATATAGCAGTCGGGTCCTAAACATTTAGGACTAGATCCAAAGATATTTCTTAAAGAAAGATCATCATTAAACAGAGTTCCATCAAATGCTCTTTGTCCGGTCGAAATCTCTGTCGCGATAATTCCAAGGCTGTAAATATCAGATGCTTAAATATACGACTGACCCATCAAAACCTCAGGCGCTATATACGGTAAAATTCCACAAATTTTTCCATCCTTTACTTTTTTTGAAAGTCCAAGATTAGTAATATACGCACCATGCAAGCTATTTCCTTGCAAAATATTTCTGCTGTGTAAATCTCTGTGAACGAGTTCCTGCGAATGAATCGACTCGAGATCCAAAGCTATAGTGTAAGATACCAATTTATCTTCCATTCCAATTGTGATACTTGTTCAAGATTTTGTCGCAACGAACCCTCTGTTGCATAATCCATAACAATAATATAGTCATCATAATTATTTCTTGATACTCCCTTACATCCCAAGAACGAAGGATTCTCGTATCCAATTCACAGTGATTTTTCAATTCCTTGATAAATTCTTGCTTATTTTCATTTGAGTCACGAATTACTTTAAGTGCACCATATTTCCACACACTATTAATTTTATTGACCCATTTTGCATAATATACAGGTGCAAATCCTCCATTTCCTGTTTTTTTTTGGATATCT